AAGTCATTCGGAGGTTGTAGAGGTTATATATGTCGTTGTACTAAAGCTGATCTTCGTTAAAACGATCATAATTTCTTTCTAATATTTATATCTAATAATATAATTATTTATTTGTTAATGTGAATCTGCGTTTACACATGTATACCAAAGACTCACCAATATGTTTTCCAAGCTAATAAATATAAGCGTTAGCCCCATTGTATCACAAAGGTTACCAATAATAAAAGAATACATTTTATTCATATTGCATTTTAAGTAATAGTCTCTCGAAATATCTTTGTCACTAGTGATAACTAATGTAATAGCTTTTTAATTTATTTCTAAAATATATTATTTTATAGTAAAAAACTTTATTTTATAGTTAGTTATACTTTAATGAATACTTTTAAAGCAAATTCCATAAATTAAAAGAGAATAGTTTCCCTAACTTTCATTGTTAACAATAAAAAAACACCAATGAAAATATTTTTTGGTTTGGAACTTAAGTAAAACAACATATAAATATCACAAAGTTTAGTTTCAATAATTTCATAACAAACAATAACACAAAATATTAGCAAACAAATTTCAGTATATAGTTAGGTGTTATAGTTAGGTGCAACGAATACAATGAAAAATTATAATATGGGAGAGAACCCATATTTTCAATCCAATCATCTCAGTATCAGATAAACGAGTTTCTAAACATAAATCTTAAACATCTTGCTGGTTGAAGCTACACATTGTGCTTGGACTTGTTATCGAAGGAATAAGTCATTGGGAAATTTTAAAAGTTGTAAATGTCGTTGTACTATAAGGGATCTTACTTAAGACGATCATAATTTGTTTCTAATATTTATAACTAAGAAAATAACAACAGATTTCTTTATTTGTTAATGTGCATCTGCGTTTACATATGTATTCCAAGGAGTCACCAATATGTTTTTCAACCTTATAAATTTAAGCATTATGCCCATTAACAAACAAGTTTCAGAAAAACTCAAATATCACATGTATTGGAGGTCAAAATTCTCGATTTTAATACTTATGAAAACATCATAGACCATTACACACAACTAACTTTAGACATTTGTGTTTCCCAAATATTATGTATAGTTTTGTGCCACGAATATTGTTACTAAAAATTGGTTCATAAATAATATTTCACTGCCCATTTGACCTGCAAGAATGTTCTTGTTATACTACTAATCCATAAATTATGTATTATTTACTATGTATGTATGCATCCCAAAAATAATACAAAGTTATAATCCATATATATTTATTTATTTAATCAGATTTATAAAATTAATTGTGTTTTAATTTAACATATAATAAACTTCATTTTGCTCATTTATAAGAATCATGAATTTAAAATAATTTTATATATCTATACATCGTAGACCTTAAAGTCTCTTGAAATATCTTTGTCACTAGTGATAACTAATGTAATAGCTCTTTTATTTATTTCTAAAATACATTATTTTATAGTATAACACTTTATTATATAGTTATTTATACTTTACTGAATACTTTTAAAGAAAATTCCATAAATTAAAAGAGTAATTTTCATTGATAACAATACAAAAATGCTAATTAAAATATTTATTTTTTTCTAACTTAAGTAAGACAACATATAAATATCACAAAGTCTAGTTTTAATAACTTCATAACAAACAGAAACCCAAAATATTAGCAAAAAAAAAAGTTTAGTATATTTTTTTTTTTTGAATATCGTTTTTAAAATTTTGATTTAGAAGATGAATACAATTGTTGGACTTTTTCTTCCATCCACTTTGTGTTTATTTACTGTATATATCCTTCTTTATTTAAGCTTTGACGAGCGAAAAAGGTGCGAAGGCAAAATACTTCAACGGAGGAGACCACAGACGTCAAAAGGAAGATGACTCCTTCAGTTCCATCTAACTACGTCAGCATCCTTCATCTCCGGGAGCGTTGGACCAAAGAGAAAGATCAGAATCGAAAGGAAGATGAGGAAGCGAGACGACGTAATCAACACGCTGAAGAACAACAAACGAAAGAAGACGATCTGACGGATCTCGATGAGATTCGTTCGAATCAAAGCGATCAGAAGCATTGGGGGAGTAAGAAAGACGAATCTATCGACGGCGGAGAAGCAAAGTTGGAAACGGCTGCGATCGGGAGCGAGGGAGGTGAAGTTGAGGGATTACCGGAGAAGAAGAGGGGACGTAGGAAACGATATGATAGTAAGAAGAAGAAGAAGAGAGCAAATCAAGAGGTGGAAGAGTGTGGATCAATCAAGCCACGTGAGATGCACGTGAGTGTGAAAGATCAGATTCGAGTTTATAAGAAGAAAGAAGAAAAGGCTATGGGAAAGAAAAGTGTTGTAACGGCCATAGAAACACAATTTAAGGAGCTTTCTATCAAAAGAGGCCAAGAAACCAAAAAACTCACGGCACGTGATTTGCCTCTTGGACGGGTTAGAATGCCGATAGAGACTGCTACAATGGTGTGGGTGAAGAAAGAGAGAGCTGGTGATGGAAATGGAAGTGGCGTGATGATGAACAATGATGTTACAAGTTTGATGTTATTTAGGGTTTGATTACTGAAAGAATGTGAATAAGTTAAAAGACTGGTGACATGCTTGTGCAAAGCTTGAAATCACCTTTTAATCTATAGTTAAGAGTACCAAATCTGGATAACTAATGTGCAAACATTTTGTTCAACTCAATCCTAAAGAAGGTGTTGAAGCTTGGAACACAGCTTTGGTGAAATATACCAATTCCACTTTTTAACATTTACTTGTTACACAGTATTTGGGACATTACCACATTTCTAGAGCTCAAGTTTTGACAGTACAAATGTACATAAAAATCAAAGTATAACAGATTCATTACCTAGACAGAAGCTGGTGTTGGAGTTGAGGTTGTGGTGGTTGAGGCAGGAACTCGGTTTTCCGGCGGGATCTCAGTGAACTCGGAGAGAATTGCCCTGAACTCATCACCTCCAATAGTTTCTTTCTCCAGAAGCACTTCAACGATCTTATCCATGGCTTCACGGTTGTTCCTTATGTGGCTTAGAGCTATCTCATATGCACTGTCTGATAGTTTCTTCACTGCAGTATCAATGTCCTCTGCAAGCTTCTCAGACATGGAGTTTCTTGCCATCATCCTCATGATCACATCGCTTTGTGCCGATGAATCCATCAATGACCATGGTCCAATTTCAGACATTCCAAATGTTGTTACCATCTGCCAAAAAGTAAAATAACCAAACAGTCTCAATATCAAAAACTTATCATTAGGGACAAGCATGAAGCTAGCTACCTGCTTAGCCAAACCGGTGATCTGTTGCAAGTCACCAACGGCGCCAGTAGTAACCTCAGGCTCACCAAAGATGATTTCTTCAGCGGCTCTACCACCAAGTCCACCAACAATTCTTGCAAAGAGTTGTTGCTTGGAGATGAGAGTAGGGTCATCTGATGGAATGAACCAAGTAAGACCTCTTGCTTGTCCTCTTGGTACCAACGTTACCTTTTGCACAGCATCATGTCCTGGTGTCAATGTTCTGCAAAGAAACAAAAAGAGTCAGAAAAGTTGTGCAAAGACATGCTTTTAATCTGATTCTCACTTACCCACACACGGCATGACCAACTTCATGGTAAGCAACCAAGCTTTTACTCTTGCTATCAGTCATCACAGTTCCTTCCATACCAGCAACGATTCTATCAATAGAATCATCAATCTCTTTAGACGATATCGCCGTCCTGGCACGTCTTCCAGCCAATATAGCAGCCTCATTCAACAGATTAGCAAGATCAGCTCCACTAAATCCAGGAGTTCTCATCGCTATCACTTCAAGCGAGACATCATTTTCAAACTTCTTATTACCAGCATGAACCTTAAGAATATCTGTCCTCCCCTTAATATCCGGAACATCAACACTCACCTGCCTGTCAAACCGTCCTGGCCTCAACAAAGCAGAGTCAAGAATATCCGCTCTATTCGTCGCAGCAACAACGATGATACCAGTGTTACCTTCAAACCCATCCATCTCAGTCAACAACTGATTCAAAGTCTGTTCTCTCTCATCATTCCCTCCACCAATCCCTGTCCCTCTCTGCCTACCAACAGCATCAATCTCATCAACAAAGACAATACAAGGAGCATTCTCCTTAGCCTTCTTGAAAAGATCACGCACCCTCGAAGCACCAACACCGACAAACATCTCAACGAACTCAGAACCAGAGATTGAGAAGAAAGGCACACCAGCTTCACCAGCAATAGCCTTCGCCAAAAGCGTCTTCCCAGTACCAGGAGGACCAATAAGCAGCACACCCTTCGGAATCCTAGCACCAACAGCAGTAAACCTCTCAGGCTTCTTCAAAAACTCAACAACCTCCATAAAATCGTGCTTAGCTTCATCAACACCAGCAACATCATCAAACGTCACACCAGTGTTTGGCTCCATCTGAAACTTAGCTTTACTCTGACCAAACTGAAGCGGACCACCAGGCCCACCTGGACCACCCATTCCTCCAGGAGAGCCTCTTGAAAGAAGAAACAACCCACCAATCAAAAGCATAGGGAAAGCAAGATTACCAATCAAGTTAAACAACACGGATCCTTGATCTTCCTGAGCATTATGCGCAGCGAAATCAATATTCTTAGCTCTCAGCTTCTGTAAAAGCTCTTGGCTTAGCCCTGGGAGCTGGACACGTACACGTTGCACACGGTTACCTAACTCAGGAGCAACGGCTTCGACGATAGCTATTGTCCCGTTCTCGTAGAGATCCACTTTACTCACCCTGTCTTTGTCTAAATACTCAAGAAACCTTGAGTATGACATTCTTGAAGATGAAGAAGCGTCTTGTTGTTGTTCATCTGCGTTTGCTTTGCCGCTTGTGAGTAAACCGATTCCTGCGTTTCCTAACAGGACTTTGAGAAAGTCTCTACGCCCGTCGTGTTTCTTCGCGTCCAAAGAAGCCTTCACGAGATTGGCCTTGGGTGATGTTCTGGTGACTGAGGAGGAAAGAGTGATCTGTCTGCGTGGGAAGTGTTTGGTTGTGTATAGTGACAATCCGTTTCCGACAAGACAGGTGGATGAAGCTGCCATCTGTAATGAAATCGAGCAGGAAGTAACTAGATGAAAAAAGTGACGAAGTACGAACAAAGCTAAGTGAGATTCATGCACAAAAGAGAGAGGCAGAAGACGAACCTGTATCGATTGGAGATAAGAGTGGACAAGGAGAGGGGGATGAGTGAAGGGATTTTTTTTTGAAGGTAACAGATGTGGTTTGTGAAGAAGAGCTAACGTGTTCTTCATTTAGTGGTCAACTAAGTGGACCGGATCTAACCAAGACTTACTGGATAATCCAAAAGCAAAATTAAATTTAATTGTTTTTTTCTACGCGAATTTGATTATGATGACAGGACTTTGTCGCTACTAGCCAGCCACTGTTTCCAATTTCCAGATTAGGGAATCGGTTTAACATACGGTTTATGCTGGTTTAATAGGATTTGATTATCAAGTGGCTGTTTTTGGGTTTCCAGACTCGTCCTTTGGTTTCCTCTGTGTTTTATTCACACTCTGTTTTACAACTAAAGACACTAACCCTCTTTTCTTTTATCCCCAAACATCTTTGTATACATGGCATTGCTGCTTAAATAAATTATCATATCACAATACAAATTAGGTTACAATCACAAAAGATAAAAATAGAGTACAAGTGTGAAAATTTGTTGTGTGCGTACAGGGAAAACATGTGTACTCAAGTGATGATGATACATCGTTACTGCGGAATATATCATTAATAATCTCAATTAATAATAATATTACCAAGAAACACACATGAAAACTTGAGTTCATCGAATGTAAGTATCAAAAGATGCAAGGAATCCTGTCTCAAAATATGAACTGGAAGTAGAATAGAACAAAGGAAGTTTAGTCCAAAACCATGAAAATAAGTGATAAAGAAAGACATATATGGGCAGTTGCATGATCAGATATGATGCCAAAGATGGATGTTGAAAAGCAGCAGAACAATGGATTTTTATTGGCACACGTCTCAGGCGACTATGTCGTTTAAATGCTTCCATATGGCATGGTAACTCCAAAAACTAGCAATATTTATTGTTGGCTTGGGCTTCATGTTGCGATGATACTGAGTTTAGAGACCTCGTGTGACCTGATAACCTTCTGAGGCTTACGTAATGCCTGCACCAGAGACAGAGAAAATTAATATAAGAGGTTAAAATATAGACATTTGGTTAAAGTAGCTTGGTGAACAAGCAACAAAATTAAAGTTTCATCAATTACATTACTGCTCAGTAGCAAGTCATGTGGCTGGAGCATGTGAATCACATCTCCCATTTTAGGTCTCTGTTCTATCTCAGGATCAACACAGCGCAACGCAATCAACACAATCCGTTTGAGTTCTTTTAATGTTGGAAACTCCGGGAGGCTTGGATCAAGAACGTCTACTATCATATGATTCACCACCATCTCTTTGATCCAGTCCACTAAATAAACCTACAAAGACGCTTAAAAAAGGTACAGCACATATAACAAAGGATTTGTGTTATGTGGTACTCTTACATGTGGTGAGCTTTGGTCTTCAGAGACTCTCCCGGAAACAAGCTCCATTATCAAAGTCCCAAAGCAATGAACATCGATTTTCTCATCTAGATTATTCGGTGAAGGAATAAAAGCTGAGTTCATTGGAATATCACTATGACTTGGGATAGCTAGTATTATCTTAGGGTTCCATTGATAATCAAGAAGAATCTTGCTTGGTCTTATGTATTGATGAGTAATCCTTGGTTCAATGTCTTCATGAAAATACGCCAGTCTGAAACACACAAAACATAATGAAACAACAACAAAAAAAGAAAAGAAATGGTTTGAAATGCAAAGAGAAGAGATCAAAACCCTTTTGCTACGCCTTGAATAATCTTCATCCTCTTACTCCAGGTCAGAGGTTGGTTTCTCCCTGAAGATCCATGAATCCATTCGTGCAAATCTCCTTTCTCCACATACTCATACACAAGAACCCTGAAATTCATACAGGCTTGTGAGTTAACCTTCCAACGCAAGTCACAAAGTAGAGGTAATGTATATATATACCTTTCGTCTCCTTCAATGCAGTATCCGAGGAGTCTCACAACATTCTTATGTCTAACGTTTGCAATCATCTCAGCTCTTGTTATGAAATCATTATCGTCATACCTGATTTAAAATATTGTCTTGTATCAAAATATTAAAATTCTAAGACAAAACAAATATGGTTTATTTAAGCAGCTATAAACATTTTTAAAATTATTTTTGATTTAGGCAGCATAAACTTTTACATTAGTTTTATTAAAAAAATATTTTTGATCATTTGGGGGTCATTTACAAATTATGTATAATAGATCTTTAATTTTTTGGGGATAGACAAACAAATCTAGGAGATCAATCAAAAGAGTTAAAATGCAAAAAACCTTTGATAGGTGGGGAAGAACCGTTTGATAGCAACAGTGACTGTACCCATCAAGATGCCACGATACACCATTGAAGAATCTCCTTTAGCAATCAGATTCTCATCTGCAAAACCATCAGTAACACTCTCTATCTCCATGAACGTAAACACGGTGAAGCTTCCAAAGCTGCTCGTGGTAGAGGAGAAGCTTCTGGTGTAGTATGAAAGATGAGCAGAGGACCATCCAACCTGAGAGATCCTCCCGCTCTCTGCATACTCGGGGCAACGGTTGTACGAGTTATATCGTCTGTCATTATTTAAGTGATTGTGTGACAAAGGCAGACAAAGCTTTGATCTTAGTCTGAATGGCTCTTGTCTACATCTTCTCCTGTGGAAGATGAAACATAAGGAGAGGAAAACAATGAATGCTAAGAGGAAAGCTATGGAGGCAGAAGCTGTGATGAGGATCCATAGCTTGATGCCGAAGAAAGAAGTGTGTTGAGAGAGTTTGTGTTCGATATGTGATGATATGAATCTATTCATCACTATGTGTCTTTGTAGTGATACAGATGGTGAATCAGTGACAGTGTGATATAGTAAGATCTCGAGCGAGTTCTGCATTCTCGTTTTGAGTAATGTTATTTTCTTTCTTTTTTTTTTTGAATTTGAAATGTGTTTTGAAAGAGTCTGAAAAGATTTAATAGTATCCAAAGATGTAGCAGAAGAGGTTGCTTGACTGTATCAACAAAATATTGAGAGTTTTTAGGGTTTAGAATCTTATACATCTCATGGAGTAATGATTAATGTGACACTAAACAATGAATAAACTATTTCCAAAAAAAAAAGAGATCAGAAAAGAAAGTGAATGGAATAATCACTTTTTTGTTCGTTCAGTATTCCATTTCCCACTCTATTTTGCCGTAAAATTATGGAACGGGTCGGAGATGCTCAGAACCATAATATTACAGTGTGTTTGAATTCCCTACCCTATTACAGCTTCTATGCTGCAGATTAGATGTATGGTGAATTTGGTCTTGTTAAGTGTTTTATTTTAATTTCAAACTTTTGGCACACTATATAACGTGGTTATTTTTACTATCATGTTAACATGATCCACAAAGTTTTAAACCTCTTTATGTTTAGTAGCTGCAATTTTTTGAAGTCTGTATCTAGTGTTTCTTTTAAATGAGACTAATTATAGCCGTTCGAGTTGTAGCTTTTCTTGGTTTGAGTTTTGTTGCTTGGATATGGAACTAACTGAAACAGAGAACCAAATAATAGCATTACAAACTTTAAGTTAAATCCAAACCAATATGTTCCTGTCTGGACATTCAAATTTGAAGTTGAACATAATAATTAAATTTAAAACACTAGTTATATATATATATATATATGAAGGAGAGAAGAGTTCATGCATCATATCAAACCATAACAGGCAACAGCTAGAGATGTCCTAACTTCAAAATCTCCAGTCAAAACATGATCACACCACTCAACTTTACCCCAAATCTCCCCTCCTTGACGTCTTTCCAGCGAAATCTCCGCACACCAAATCTTATTTTTTCCACCGAAAAGCAAAGCCATGTTCCCACCATATCTCACAGTATATGACAACTTTGAACACAATGTCTCGGCCAGCAATTCTTCCACGCCTTCCACCACTCTCCAAGTCTTCTGATTTGGATCATAAGCTCTTAACGTGTTCACGTCTTGATCATGGTAGTACAATACATCATCAACCACACATGCATTCATCCATACCTTATACTTCAGCATATCGTCTGTTTCCCAATTACTTTCCTTTGGCTCGAACACATTGCTTCTAAGACAATCCATTGTGTATATTTTATCAGACATCACCACACAAGGATTTCTTATTCTTGGAGTTTCCTTCTCCTCCCACGTTTGTGTTTTTATATCGAACACCACCATCTCATTACTTACATCTTGAAGATAGTAAGATCCAGTTACATATATTTTCCCGTCGATGAAGCAAGCGAATTTACAAAACAAAGGAACAGGGATGCTTGGGATGGGCTCCACCGTGTGGGATCTACAATCCATGACAAACGCATTTGTCGTCTTGTTTTCAATACCACCAAAAACGTATATCTTTGAACCCACGGCCACAGAGCTTTCAGGGTAATACAAAAAGGGAAACGACGTCGCGGGGGAAGGGACCAAGCAGTGACTGCCGTTGGCTTTCCGGCAGAGGATATACCAATGGTGAGGGGTGTATATGTTATAGGAGTTTATGTCATAGAGGGAAACATAGAGATAGTCCTCAGTGCAGGCCAACAAGGATCTTCTTGCGTGTAGATGAGGCGAAGCAACAAGTGACCTGAAGTGCTTGGAAACAAGAGAGAGTGTTGGATAGTCCCATCTTGATAAACGCGCTAAGATGTCAATGATGACATCTTCAGGAAGTGAGGGAATCAGAGACAATGAGGATTTCTCATCATCCTCTGCCTTTATTTTGGAAACCATCGACGATCAGCCAATCACAGAGACACAAACTAGAATATAAGCTCAGATCAACAATCACAGCCGCGAGAGAGAGAGGAATGCAATACCCTAATAAGAGTTGGTCCTATATTTATAAGCCTTTTCCATAATAAGTAAACAATCTTAAATTTTTGTCAAAAAAAAAAAAACAATCTTAAATAACCGTTTTCATTAATGTAAAATTTTGTATTTATTTTAGAGTTTTTCTTGGGTATTAAATTGCCACATCATATTCAGTTTTTGAAAAACAAAAAGGAAAAAAATCTGATTTTTAATTACCAAAAAAAAAAATCAGATTTGATTTCTTCTACGATGAAAGGATTTGTTTTGATTTATTTCTATTATTTTATTTGTTTATATTTAATATTTATATATATGTAATAATACTTAGATACTATCATTATTCATGTTCTTAAAATAAAAATTGACATACAAACATTCAGTTTGATCTATTTCTTGATTTCCCTATAAATTGTATATTTATAACAATAGAGACATAATTTTCTCAATTCCAATAGACTAAGAGTGTTATGCCGATTCTTTTGAGTAATATATCTGGAAATTCCAGCTGATTCTTTTTTTTAATATTTCGAACACAATGGTAAATTCCAAAATAATTGTTATAGTTAAAGCAGCTAGCAGTAAACCGAAATAACTAGTTATAGTGGGCATGAAGAATACTTATGTCTCTAAATTATTTCCCTAAGTTTCAATAAAAAAATTTAAGATAGATACAAATACTAGTTTCAAGAATCAAAAAAAATTCAATTGAAAATTTGTGAATTATCAATCATTATCAGTGGTATGAACAAAAATAGAGAAAAGAGAAAACTAAATTCATCGTCTTTGGCATATGCACCATCTCAGGATTCAGAATTCACGTAAGTGGTTCATTGAAAAACTATTTAATCAATTAATCAGAAAATAATACATAAAAAATAACTCTATTATTTAACATCAGTTAAAACATATAACTTTTTTTTGAATAAACATGTAAATTTTTTTAAAAAAGTTGTTTGATTCTTTTTTAAGTGACCTTAGAACCTAGAATACGCCCCCTTCTACACTTATTCAAATTGAATTTATTTCAATTTGAATAAAGTAAATTAATATCATAGAGCAGTTTTCTTCATTTAAGCTATGGAAAGAAACAAAAAACAGTATCCTACACAAAGAACGAGATTAGTCAAAAAATAGTTATTCATTGTAACCACATTTTTAAAACTTGTAATTAGTAATTTCTATTATTGTTTCCTTTTTAGGTTTTAGGTTTTTATTGTCTTTCGATATTATATAAAAAATAGAGTGAAAAATCTATCATATTTGTAGTTAGTTAAAGAAATAAAAAAAAAACATTTGAACTGAATACAACAAAATAATGCACACATTCCAAAGATTTAATATTATATTTTTATTATTTGTTATTCTTTTGAATTGATCCACAGCTTTCTTGTTACTAGAAATTAATTCTTTAAAATAAAATGAACTAAAAAACAAAAAGTGGAGAGGGGGATCACATTATCATTACAAAAAAATCTCTTCTACAATTAAAATTGTAGAATTGTAAAAATCAAACTGATTTGATTTTTTCTTAGAAAAACTCTTTATTTTATTCACAAAAATATTAGATGACTACTTAACTTTAGTTTGAGATATTGCATTCCATATACACCAATAACATAGTAATTTGCAAATAGGGAACTACTACTGTTCTCTTTTTATAATGGCCGAACTGCCCCTATACCTAAACAAAGTCTATAGCCCAATTATTACACCGAACGGAGAAAGTAAAGTAACTTTGTTTTTTTTCTCTTTCTCTGTCTTTCTTCTCACAAAAAACACTGACTATGTCCGGATTTCTAGGTCTCCGCCGGAGCTCCGAGAAGTGCAATCTCCGAAACAGAGCTCCAGTTAATCTACAAACAGGTCAAAGCCGCCGTCGATCTCTTCCAGCAGCAAGCCGCTCCACCTAGGTACATCATTTTCTTCTTCACTACGAGAACATTGAGGATGAACTAATTAAGCTTGGTTTCTTCTTACGCTTGGTTTCTTCACCTAGCTTAATTAGTTCACCAAGTTTTGTTTAAAATTTTAATGCTTGGATGAACTAATTAACATTGAGGATCAACTAATTAGCTTAACATTTAGCCTAATTAGTTTCTTCTTACGCTTGGATGAACTAGTTAACATTGACGATGAACTAATTAAGCTTGGTTTTTTCTTCACTACGAGAACATTGAGGATGATGATGATAGTGATGCTTCAGACAACAAGGATTCAAAGCACGAATCACATGTTGTGTTTAACAGGGAGGCTGTTTTGGTGTGTCTGTGAATAATTAATTAGCCTCTTCTGTTTCTTAGTGTCTTGAGAATGTTTCTCGTTACCAAGAGAACAAATAATGGGATTGGTTTGATAAAGAGACGAGTGTTGTTTGTGTTTAATTAGTTCATGTGTAATCTCGTTGTGGGTTCCAAACATGTAGATTTTGTTTGCGGAATTGTTTATGTTTTTAGTCAGATGTAATTGAGAAAACATATGTAGCCGGATAACTATAAAAGAAAACAAAAACAAAATTTTTGGGTGGATTCAAACTTTTATTATTATTCAGCTTTCAGCTTTTAATTTTATATTTTATCAGAATTAACCGAATAAATTGGAATATAGCCATCCAATTTTACTTCCAGATTGTACATTTGTATAAATGGGTTAGTCACTAGTTCAATCATACATAAGTATACTTTAAATAATAGCCATTTACTAATTAACATAACCATCCACAGATTCGATAGCCAGTCATTTTAACGCAAAATATTAGATAATATATAAAATATCTGGATAAATAGAAATATATCATACATAAGTATACTTTAAATAATAGTCATTTACTAATTAACATAACCATCCGCAGATCCATTAACCGGTCATTTTAACGCAAAATATTAGCTAATATATAACATACCCGGATAAATAAAATTATAACCATGCTAATTTATAAAAAAAAAAAAAAATCACTTTTAGCCGTGAAAAACTTACATATGAACCACATGAAATTATTGTTATTAGATGGCTAAAATATTTGTTAGCCAGTTAACTAATGTGATAGATTAAAATTATATTGGTTAGCCGTCTAAACTAATTTAACACTTTGAAAACTCATTACAAGATGTACACAAAAACACAATTAAGATAAAAGAAAAAATAAAAATATAGGGAGAGAGTTACTCCAAATACATAACAAATTTCTCTTCTTATGACATGTCACCAAACAACACCAATAGACTGCAAACGTATCTAGCTGGCTGAAACGTATTCTATAGACTGAATCTTCAACAAGATACAACAACTGGTGTTTTTCTTGCTTCGTTAACCCCAGCTCCAAGTGAAAACAAATGAGACTACTTAAACCACAATGACATACTACGACCACCACACACTGACACTTTCACATTACAAGAAAACAGCAAGAAGCCTTAAATGATATAAACAATCCCAACAGTAGCTGCGCAGAAAGTAGTCAGAGCATTCATAATTTGTCACCCCAAAGGAGGTCATTAAGAATATGATAATTAGCCAGTTAACATGAGATGTTATCACAATCTACGACTTCACTCTAAAATAATGCAGATCTAAGAGACCAACACTAAACTCAAAATCATCAGTGTTCTCTTTTTGGCTCAATGGACGAGAACCGTATTTAGAGTAGTGGGTTCCCCAAAAAACGCGTTTCCTCCATTAAACCTTTTCTGAACATTCTGATATCCTCTTGTCAGTTGACCCCCGCATTAGCCATTACCACCATATTATCCACAATTCTGCGTGTAGTAACTCACACCATTAGATTCAAAAGTTGAATAAGTAAACACACAAAACAACGTCACTACTCAATGACACCACATCGAGAATATTCATCCATAAGATCTAGAAACGTCATGGACTAATACATCTTTTTACAAAATGATTGAAAGTTCAAAACTTTACATTGGTAGATGGCTGAAACTGTGGAAGTCTGGGAGACCAGTGGATGGGAGCCATCTACGACTGGAGAATGATACATCAAGACGATTATCGGAGAACTGTTTCTGGTGGTAGACTACCGTTGCCCCAGATTTCTATTTTCCGTTCATCTTCGCTCAACCCTAAATCGCAATTTTTATCTCTTGGCATGAATCGAAGCTCCTAAGTGAATCCTTTCATTGGATATCTATTAATCAAAGCTTGCACTTTTACTCTCTGTTGTCTCCTTCTCTCTCCAGGGATGAAGTACAAATTAAAAAGCTAAGTAGTCGAACGATAGGGAGAGAGAGAATGAAACAATGATAGGGTTAAAAGTGTCTTTTTACACCTATTGATACTGGGCTCCACCTCAATTTTCCCATCTTGCAAATTATCGTGCCCCATTAGCATTTGTATGCAAATGCCTCCTTTAGTTTAACATATATCCTCTTTTAAAATTTAAAAAAAAATTCTTATTTATATTTAAATTTATATTATTCTTTTATTTATTTCGATTTTAAAGGTTCTTTTGTTAAAGAAGGTTCTTTTTCCTGTTGACAAAATAAAAGTTATTTCTTTCATGTCATGTCTTTCTTTTGTATGAATTGCATTTGAGTTTTCTTTTGTATATGGAGGAGTCTTGTTTCTAGTTACGTTCAGAAACTCATTGTGAGTGTTTGTTTAGCTTTTAGAAGTTCTTTAGAATCCGTCACTCATCACAAAGGAAATACATTTCTTGGGTTTATTGGCTTGTACACAACTTGTTGGAATCAATCAAAACTCAAGAGGAATATCAACAGAAAAAAAAAACAAAGAAAATTAAGATAGACACAATAACAATTCAAAATAAAAGAAAGGAAAGCAAATACATAATCAAAAGTTGTTTTGGGATAGGTTCTTTCTCATAGTGCTATGTTCTTCATTCATGGTGAAATTCATTAGTTTATCCTCTTTCTGACATTTCATTTTGTAGTAGATGTCTTGAGAAGATCAAGAACTCCACAACAATTTTTCCACCACGGTGTAGTCTCAGCTCCACGCTCACTAGCTAACAAAGGCTGCAAGGCACATTAAATTTGAAAACATAATGAGATTTATTACAATCTCTTGGTAAAAAAACATTTTAAGTTTTTAGTTTTGAGAATGTAGAGAGTTTTGTATGTGACCTGATTGTCCGTGGATGTGGAAACGTCTCGGCTTGCAACGGTGGTGCTGCTCGATGCGCCAGCAACAGCCTTGCTAGCAGCGTCAACGATCTTGGAGGAAATATCAGTCTTCTTCTCCTCAAAAACATGAAGTAAAGATTTGGCTCCTTCTATACCTGTTGCGAAAGCTTTGTCCACTACATCTTTTACCTAAACACACAAGACAGGTACATATTATGTTTCTATCTTTTTGGGATAACATACATGTAAAAGGGGGATGTAAGAAGTGAAAAAACCAACCTGTGTTGACACATTCTCTGGTGCTGCTGCGGCTTCACTCTTGACCGTTTCAGTGGAAGCTGAAACGGTTTCTCCAGCATCGGTTAGAGACCTTTTGACGGTTTCCACGGAGGCTGCAGCGGTTTCTTCAGCACTGGTTAGAGAGGTCGTGACGGTCTCAGTGGAGGCCGCCACGGTTTTCTGAGCATCGGTTAGAGAGGCACCGATGGATTCAACATTGGCTGTAACGGATTCTTTGGCTTCGTTAATAGCAGAAGTTGCCTTCTCGAAGAGAGATGCCATTTTCTATCTGCCGATGCTTGAATATTTTTTTGTGAGATAGAGAGACAGAGACTTATATAATAAGCTAAGTAGAATATTCTTCAAGATGGTGAGGAATGTGAAACAAAGTGAGCTGTTAAGAGGGCGGCCGTTTCAACGCCTCCAGCGAAACAACTAATGAGAATCTCACAACGTGACTTCCTTTATGATGTTCTTGATTTTGTTTGACAACAAATTTATTAGAAAAATTTATAAGTTATTGTGTCAATCATAGTCAAGAGTATAATAAGGTATATTTGAGGAAATGATTGGGTTGCATTATCTATTTCAGATGGGTTGATGATTGAGTTATGGAGTTGTCCTACATTAAGTTGTATTGCCAGCTTCTTTATTCACATTACCAACTATACGACAGCCCCTTTTGATGCCCCCACTTTTTTCTTTTCTTCTTTACGTATATAATGTGAATATCAGCAGCAAAGTTTGAAGCGAAATGGTCACTACTACTGTTGTTATAACGGTGCCAAACACGGTTGATACACACCATTAATTGGTGATTAGCGTGTTGCAACTTAGAATGTTGAATTGTAAATAAAAATGGTAGGGAAAATATACCCAATCTTCTTAGTATTTAATTGTTTTACAAACTGTTTTAATCCTGACAAAATGGGAATAATATCTGATTCCAACATATCCAAATCGAACCACTCTTTTGATACACCAACTTTTGGTTTATAAAGCACAAATAATTTTTCTTTGTGATATGCTTAAAACTTAAAAGTAGGACTTAAAAGAGGTACATAGTTTAATGGGAGAGTTACGAAAACGGTCTAAGCTTCTTTTTTTTTTTTTTTTTTTTTTTGTAGATCTCCATGTTAATTTTTTATTGATGATTTTCAAATTTTATGATTTTTGTTTAGCCATTTAAAATATAAAATAAAAATATATAGGTTGAAATAATAATATTTACACTTCCAAGAGAAATAATAATATTTACAAACGCAGTTTTTGTGGTTGGTAGAGGTTGCTGGCGTTTTTCAACAATCATTTAAACCGCTCTAAACCGATTCACACCGTTCTAAACCTCTTAAATATAAAAGTTGGTTCCAACTAACGTTTGCGATTGCGAGCGGTTATAGTAGGATGATTTCTTTTAAAAAATATAAATACAAAAATAAAAATATTCAATAAAATTTTTAAATTGGAATTATGAAAATACTAAAATATATCTATTATATTTAATTAATATTATAAAATTTTAAATAAAAATACTTTCAATAATTTTAAAAATTTTAAACAACAACTTTATAAGTATAATTTTATATTTATTATAATATTATGATTTTTGATACTTTTATAATTATAAAAAAATATTGTTAATTTATTATTTGACCGCTGCCGCATTTGATAGTTAGCTAGTCATAAATATCCCGCAAATGCACTATTTTTTAACTATAGTACTAATCATACAAATCTCTTAAAACTACAAAAAATCACAACCATCTACATCTGCAAATTCCCACAACCGCAACCGTTGCATTTGAACCAATCATTCTTATTAAAGACATGGAAAAAGTAAGCGAAGAGAAGAAAATAGCTCATTAGATTAAGGTTTAAATTAATAACCGTGCATAATGGTGGAATAGTGTTCTAAATGCAATTATGTAAGCATTTTGCCAATAATAAAAGTTGTAGAATGAAAAAAATGCAAAAAACGTAAGATTATGTTTTTTGCTGACCAGAAAATCTTCATTAAGTGATAAATGAGTTTTAATGGATTATTTTCAAAATCAGTACTTTCATATTGATATATCACACCATTTTAAAATATTTATTAATCAAAAATAATAATTATGATATAATTCTGCTATAATTTATTTTATAATATTATAAATCTCATTTATTATTAAAATGTATTAAAATAATGTAACTATTTAAGTAAATTATTTTTAATAAAATTATAATTATTTTCACATTTTGTATTAATTAGTATATTATTGAAATTTTTTTTGTTTTATAATGAAGTAAGTATCTTATAAAATATTTTAATTAATCTAATATATATTTCGTCATTCCACAATTTTTTTTTAAAATGTAGCTTTATTAATTTATTCGTAGTCTAACTATTTTTTTACGATTTGTGATTAAGCGATGTTTACCAATCGGAGCCTAAAATTGTAAGAAAGCCACTTGAACACTTATCAAAAAATTTAGTTTTTAATATTTAAATATAAAAGTTTTCTTGTGGATAATATAAAAACTTATTTTTGGAAAACTACGTCACTGGTGATGACGTAGTGGTATCATAAAAACATTACAGGCTTTTAACTGGTATAGGCCCATATTAACCCATTCAGTGTAGCCCATTACAGGCTTTCATTTTCGCTCGTTCTCTCCGTCGGCGGCATAAAGCCATAAACCCAACGTCAGTTAACTCCGACCGCCGTTTGCTAAAAAACTCTTGATCACCATCTCCTTCTCTCGCAGTCGCAAAACACTTTCCAAAACTGTAAGAATAATGAATCAAATGCAAAGGATCCTCTCTGCTCGTCGAGTTTCTCCCTCAATCATACCTCCGTCGTGTTTTCTCCACCGGAGGCTGTTCTCTACCTCAGAAACCGATGCTTCGTCTGCAATGCTGTCCTCTTCGCATGAAAAGATCCAAACTTTCGAAGACATAGCTTCCAATAAAAGCCGAAGCTCAAACTCATCTTCCCTCAAGGAACATGAACTTGCCAAATTCTCTGCCATTGCTGACACCTGGTTTGTCTTCGTTCGCCTTGTTTAAAACTCGAAGGGTAGTTTTAGTTCTGTCTGAATATAGTCTTTTGATTTAAAGGACAAGTTTTTACATTTCTAGGAATGGTTTTGCTTTAGAACATGTACAAAAAGTTCACTTTTTTATCTATTGAATCGAGTTAGATTTTTAGCTAAACGTTGTTTTCAGACAACTGGGTTGTGTTTAATGTCGTTTTCGGACAATTGGGTTGTGTTTACATTGCTTATCCATGATGAAAAAACGACTCCTTGATGCAGTTTAATTTTACTGTTTTATGGGTTGGTTACACTCTGTAAATTCGAGTCTCTGTTCATTGTGTTGAGTTTTGAAGGCTTTGCATGATTTTAGCTTTGGCTTTATTCTCTTTATATGAAAGGTGGCATTCGGAAGGGCCCTTTAAGCCATTGCATCTCATGAATCCAACAAGGTTGGCTTTCATCCGCTCCACCTTATGCAGACATTTCAGGTAGATAGTTTTGTTTTCTTTATTGTCATCCTGCTTTAGTTGGATGTTGGCTTTTTAACTTTGTTATTCTCAGTAAGGATCCGAGTTCTGCTAGGCCCTTTGAAGGACTGAGACTTATTGATGTAGGTTGCGGTGGCGGACTACTTTCCGAGGTATTCTTTTTTATGAGTTATACTCTTCCTTTAGTTAAGACCATTCTCAGTTGAGTTACTACTTTGGAATGACATTGTTGCTAGAGATATATTTAGTGAACCAGTGTCTTGTTGTTTTGTTTTTGTTTGAAGCCTCTAGCACGGATGGGAGCAACTGTCACAGGAATCGATGCCGTTGATAAGAATGTCAAAATTGCTCGTCTTCACGCTGTAAGGTCTCTTACTTACCTGTATCATTGTTTATGCACATAGTTTACGCCCCATCGTTTGATGATGTAGTTTTCTTGAATGCCTATGTATTTGAAACCTACACTTGAGTGCAGTCAAGGCGCACTTCTTCTCTATCTTGACTTTTATTCTTTGTTGTATGTCAATAACATGTCTCTATAGGATATGGATCCTATGACTTCAACGATTGAATACCATTGTACTACCGCAGGTATTCTATCCTGTCATCGTAGATGATGAACCATTTAAAGTTCATGGAATCTTCTGAACAGAATTTTTTGTCTCTCCTGCGCAGAGAAGCTAGTGGATGAGGGGAGGACGTTTGATGCTGTTCTTGCCTTAGAGGTATGATAATCTTCTCTGATATTTTTGTACTAGTTCCATTTAGTGCTTTGTAATTTCATTCTCATGGCAATTTTTGTTCTGATTTCTACAATTAAGGTCATCGAGCATGTAGCGAACCCTGCAGATTTCTGCAAATCCTTGTCAGCATTGACCATCCCCAACGGAGCTACAATACTTTCTACAATCAACCGCTCCATGCGAGCATATGCAGCAGCCATTGTTGCAGCAGAGTACATTCTACAATGGGTAATCTTCAGTTTCACCACCTCATCAGTCTCTAGTTATCACAATTTCCTCGATTTGTTTTTTTACATTTGGTCTTTGTATAATTAAATCACCTGCACAGCTTCCTAAAGGCACACACCAGTGGTCAAGTTTTCTAACTCCTGAAGAACTTACTATGATATTACAACGTGCTTCAGTCGATGTAAGTCATGCCCCTCCCCCTTCGCCTATATCAATATAAATAACTTATCTTAAGCTGAATGAAACGATATCAAAGTACTTTACGTCTCTATAGATGTGGACAAGAAGGATTGTTCATCTGGTTTATCCCTTAGGGGATTGTTTCCGGAAATACCTTGTGGTAGAAATAATCAAACATGAAACTATTGGTTTGCAGGTGAAGGAGATGGCTGGATTTGTATACAACCCGATAACAGGAAGATGGTTGTTGTCAGACGACATAAGCGTCAACTTCATCGCTTATGGGACCAAAAAAGAATGATCTTGGAGAGATATAGTCCCTCGTTCAAGCTGTGTATCTCTGCGTATCTGCTTCAAGAAGATGCTTAGGACAGGGTAGTAGTTAAATACAATAAGAGAAAATGATCGAGTACACAACTTTAAACTTCAGTTTTCTGTTATCCATCAGCAGATTTTGCTCTTCATTACACATATCATCCGAGACAAGAAGATTCACTTTTGTTGATATAACTAAAATGAATCAATCATGAAGGACTCAAGATATTACAAAGATCCAAAGGCAAAGGACATAGCTCAACATTATCAACGCCCTTACACACACCAAGTAAAATAAGAACTTTATTATTATAGCTTACAAAGTTGAAACAATTACGAAAAAAAAAAAAATCAGTGACTTGTGATCCAGATTTGTTTACTTCTGCGTTCGTTAAAACTGATGGCCAAGTTCTTCTTGCATATTCTCTAGATTCCATATGGCTATTTTGCCATCCAATCCTATGAATAACAAACCAAATGAATCGGCTGATTCCATGAAGGAATATATGTGAGTTCTAATTAGTGACTGACCTGAAGTGCTGAATCGCATTACTTTAGGACTCCCAGCTTGGCTAAGAGAAACAATGGAACTACAAGTTTTCAGGGAAATTTACAGGTCAGGCTCTGTCAGAGAATGGAGAGAAAGAGTCACAGCAACACTGCCTTGCAGGTGATTCTGTAAAAGCAAAGTTAGCTGAAGACAAGACAGCATTTTCTTACTTTATGCAGTTATCATGAACGCCTCCACGTGATTTAGAGGACTCAGAAGCTTCGTTGGCTGTTGTAGCCTTTGACTGACCGTAAAATTTTGTAAATGCTTCCGAAAACTTCAAAACATAAACATAATGAACAGAGGGGTTTTAGACCAAAACAGAACACATATCAATGCCAGAGGATTGAGGAAGACTTCAGGACTAAGCTTAAGTTTCACTTATATTATATAGTACTTATACCAAACACATATTCGAACAAATGGAAGAAACAAGATTGGGTATGTACCTGCGAACTATAACTAGCACCAGAGGATGCCGCTTTCTGCTCTCCAATGTATCTGATAAAGCTCCTACAAACCAAAAACTAAAGCTTATAACAATGTGTGGATCATTTTAGAGGTATAATAAGCGATGTGAAGATTCATCCAAAAATAGCTAAGAGGAGAAAATTAAGAAGAGATTTGTGAGAGTTACACACCATATTCCAGTATCATCTGCAGCAAATACCATCGCGTTGCTGTCATAACCAACGCCTATCACCATTTTCTCAGAAATAAAGAGGACCTGAAATAGAAAGTTCCAGATAATATATCAATTCAGGACATAACACGCAGAGAAAACCAGGTTCTCAAAATGTAAAACAAGGGTGGATGCTGACCCACATCACGAAGAGGCAAATCTCTAAATGCAACGCTTTGGGCTAAAGGAGAAGGACCAACGTCATCAACAAAGTAAATCATGGAGCTATGGCCTATACAAGATTACAGATACATCAGAAGTAAAACAAGGTTGAAGTTCCATTGTGAAATATCAGTAAATCGCAATGGACAAACATCTCAAGTGTTAAGAATGTTCTGACCTACATAGGCTAAGGTGTTTCCACTTGGAGACCATTTCACACCAAAGGCCCAAGAATATGACAGATCAAGCTGAAGAATTTGCTGTTTCATCAAAGGCTCAGCCGTCAAAAGCTCGTTTGTGTTAGATGAGAGGGTGGGGAGAACATATATATGGTATAAGCATTAGTATATTACTAAAACAAGGAAGCCTGACAGAGAAAACAAACCTCCCCAAATTTAGATTCTGCTGGTGAGCCTGCTTTTGGATCCCTGTATCATCCCAGTCAGTGAAGACAAATAAGAAACTGGCTTACATCTGCAAAAATAGGTTTAAATGTAGCTGTTCAAGTAATGTTCTTACTTTGTGTCGACTCCTTTGATGAATGTTGAGAATACCCGACATTTTCCATCTGTAGATGTCGTTGCCAGAAGAACCTAATGCAAAACAGACAATAAGAGAACTCAACACCGGAAATTAGAAGATTAGTTAGTTTGTGAATTTCTAGTTTAGGGATCATGTACTCTAGCCAGTGGACAACTTCTAGACTATCTTCGGTATATAAAGCATTTATACAAAGACTGATTAATATTATAGCTAATGAAGTACACGAGGTTGTGTTGATTGCACGAACATTATTAGGATGCCAAGCAACATTTGTGACTGAAGATTCATGTCGTTTCCGGATAAGTTTACTGACCCACCTGAGAACAGTGAAACCAAGCAATGTTAGCCTACCAAAACACCAAAAAATTACATGAAACTCATAATATACTAGGGAGCACTGCACACATTCCAAATATTTCCAAAACCTCTATCCAATACACAATTACGTATGTCCAGAATATAAATTAACATGCCAGTACATAATCCAGTATCCACCAAAAAGAAAGTAGATAAAACAAGTTACACAAGAGAATGTCATTTAATAGACCATTATTCTAGCATAAAAGCGAGGAAACATGAGAAAGAAAAATAATGAGCATATAAGAGAAGAAGAAGAAGTTACCAGTTATTCTCTTGCTCATAATAGCATATACACACAGTTTTAGCACCACTTCCAACCGCAAACTTGTTCTCTAAGAGTATTAAACAAAAATATGGGAAACTAGATTAGAAGATGCAGAAATTATAGGAAAAGGACATTACATATTTACTAGAAAATGAATCTATATTACTCGTGGCTTTTTGATCTGATGCGTTTACCTTTTGGACTCCATTGGACACAAAGTGCAGCACGATTTAGTCTAAGAATAACAAGAGTTGGTACCCACTCACCTCCTTCCAGGTTCCACACGTACCTTAACAAATTCCGAAATCAGTTTGACGAACGATGAGAAGAGTAAACTAAAAATTGAAAAGGTTTGCAGTTTTTCTCCTCTAAGCATATAAAAGATTGCAACTTACGAGTTCCTGTCATGGGAAACAGTGACGATTTTGTTGGACTTTGAGCTCCAATCAATTCCAGAAACAATTTGGTCATGCTGCAACAATTTCAAACAAAACTCATTAAGTATGTAAGTTCGAGATTCAAGCCGTCTACACAACACTATTTAGATGAGGAGACAGAAAGCTTCACCTTTTCGAGAACATGTAACCTCTCCCACTGGTCTTGTGATGATTTATAGATATGAACTTCATTATTGTTAGGACAAAGTGCAACCACTACAACAAAAACAGACATAACTGACTATATGCTTTTGCAAGAAGAAAAAAAAAAACAGACCAAACTAGAAAAGCTCATAAACTAATGTACAATGACTTTATACCAACTGTTCCCACTAAACTAATAAGAATGTATATGAAGGCATTGACCAACTCAATTCAACCTTCTTTAATTAAACAGATACCGACAAACAAACAAACAAACTAACACATGTCGGAACAAGAATTTACCAGAAAAGATATAACCATTTCGAGAAATTACAAGAAAATTTGATTCCTTTCTAATATTCACAAAGGTAAAAAGACTTACTGGAGTGATCAGGACTCCAAGCATGGCAAGTGATTGACTCTGCGAACCGGTGAACATCAACCACAGCCATGATGATCCTTCTTCACTCTCACTTTTCTCGCGGAGAAGAATAGATCGATGGAGATTCGGTGGAATGAATGTTTTTGAAACTACGATGAGATCTGGAGTTTGATGTCACTAGGAGACTTGATTCGAAAGAGAGAGATGTTGTTTGTCTTCTGCGCTAAGGCTGTGTTAACCAATGACCAATTCAATTTTACTTTCTTTTTTTAAACAGCCAAAAACTAATGTTTTTTCTCTATAAAATTATGTACACTTTCGTAAACTAAAAAAATAATAAAAAGTTCGGCCGACGTATTTTTGGGAACGAGTAAATATCATCGCTGCAAACAAATTAACTTCGAGTTATTCCAATCGTTGCATTTCATCAATTTCGTACTAAGAAAATATACATTTATATATGGTTCCCCAAAGGCTCAAACACGAGTGGTTCAGTGTTCGAAATAATTTCACGACACTAAACATATGTGAGTATGTGTTCATCCGGATATAAAACTTTGTTTTGAGTCACATACTAAACATAAGATATGGAAAAGTCTTAGAAGAATGATTTGGTTATCAATATCACCAAATTGCGCTTATATTTTTGGGAGTATATTGAGAGAGAATTTTAGAGTTAAATTTAAGTTGGAGTAGTTTAAAGATTAGTGACCTATGAATTGAGATATTGTATAAGTGAGGCTAAAGCATAAAAAATTATCATGTGATGATTGGAGGATCAATAAACATAACTTTATAACTTTTAAAAATTAACAAACCGACTGTTGGAACGCTATGAAACCCACGGACTGAGAGAACATGTGTAGATAGTCCATTAGCCGTAAACGATCGGTAGGTTATAATTTTTTTAGATCACCTTCTATTTTGCAAATATTTACAAAGCAATATCATTACATTTTAATTTTAATAAAAGATTAAAATAAAAATAAATGACATTTACTTGTGATTTTCTACTTATTTATCTCTTTTCTCTTTAAGTGAGAAGACGGCAGTAACTACCGCAAGACGGACAGCAACGGCTTCAACCATAAGTGCTGATGATACATGATTGCGAGATTTGCAGAGATTTGATAAGGTGATGGTATTTTCACCCGAGAAGATGACTCCAATATCGCAGTGCTTAGATTTGGCATCCCAAGCTGCATCCACATTGTAGAGATGTCCTTGTATCTCGACAATACTAGGAATAGCAGAGGCTATGTGACACCAAGATGCTGAGCTTTTGAACAATACAGAGCGTGAATCATCTGTTAAGTAATCTTCTAATCTGCAGTTTAATATTAAGTATTCTATTCTGGAAGAAGTTAGACAGATCTGAGACCAAAAAACAATAGACAGCGAATACTCTATAGCAGAGTAAAAACAACCAGGAGACATAAAGATGTAACCAAAGAACACAAAGTCCCTCAGTACAATACCAACTAAAACTCGAATCACCCACACATCTAGCAGTGTATCCCATTCAAAAGAATAGGGATAACCAGAGAGTAATGAGGTTAGGTGAACCTGGATGTCTATTAGCGAATGGATAAACCGAAAGTCTGAACAAGAGTTGTTAGACGACCTATTCCGGAGTTGACAAAGATACGACTTGTATAACACAAGAAAAGAACTCTGATAAAGAGTCAACATGTATAACACATGAAAAGAACGCCAGTAGACAAGGATAGTGTCACCAGTGACCACAAGAGCAGTATCACCATCACTGAGCTTACTTGGAACTCTTGAAAGATTAACCTTCAGATCTAGGATTTGAGTGAAACAGGGTAAGTAACAGCAAACACCAGGGAGACTTGATATAGACCCGTCAAAACTCAAATCCGGCGGATTTGGAGGGTCTGGTGGGTCTGGCGGACTCAAAGGCTCAAAGGTACCATGACCAAACGAGGAAGATCCTGCAGGAGAAGTAGAGACCGATAGATCTGGAAAAGATAATTCCGAATCACAAACCAAACGATCCATCATCAAGGAGCAAGAGAAAGAAGAAAGGAAGAGAAAGGGGAAAGGAGAAGAATTTCTCACCAGCGAGCGTGAGGCTCGCCGGCGGCGGCGGCTACAGTGTCAAACCTTAATCACCAAAAGAGGAGAGAGGTTACTTCGTTTTTGTACTCATGATTTTCTTGGACAGGCACTGTTAAGGTGGGAAGTGAAGGAACAATCCAACATAATGGTGGTGGTGCCCTTGGAGACTACAAGGGAGAACTAGATGGGGTAGACAAGGAAGGACCAAATGTGGGATACAACAGAAAAGGACAACGGGGATACAGACACTCGGTGTGCATCCATGGCTGCTGCTTACAAATTATTGGCTGCTATAGATGCTGTCCGTAAATCGGAGAAGCTGTGTTAGACTCAGTCTGGTCACTAAAACTATATCACTTATACACAATTATGTGTAAGTGAGTAGTAAACTATGGTGTGTTTGTAGTGAAGTCAGAAAGAAAACTATTGGAATTTAGAAAGTGTAATGTCTTTTCATGAGTTGTAATCTTTTCTATTTGCATAATATAATCGTTTCTAGTTTTATGCTTTTTTTTCTTGCGGTTTTGGATACGAAAACGAAAAAAATATATTTATGTACCACACATGTACAGACACGGCTGTACCTCAAAATAATTTTAGATAAAATCGACATTGTATCAAACTTAGATTGGTGTATATGTCCACGTTGTAATTAAAAAAGCTTTTTATATTTTTCGTAGATAGGCTAAAACGTTACTTAAATATGCAATTAGTTTATTATGTTGCATGAGCATATGTTCCCATATATTCACGTTATGTTTCACATAATTAATTCACGTTAGGTTTCACCCAGGTTGTACGGAAGATTCGTCGGACGACCGCTTCCCGCTTCGAAACCGGAATTAGAATCAGAATCTTGTGGAAGCTTACGAAATTTCATTTCCAAAACGCTTCTAAAATAATCTAATTAAATACACGTTGCAAGCTTACGATTCCAATTCGGAATCACGCTACTGTTTTGAAAAGCACAATGCTGTAAACTAATAAAAAATAAAATATCATATTTTATATAAAATCTAAAATTTTATAATATTGAAATGAAAAAAAAAATAAAAATATGCAAATACTAAAACTGACACTATTATATATCACACACTATGTTTTATTAGAGATAACATATTTATTCAGATAAATTATATCAGTTATTTATAAAATATTAAAAATAATTAATTGGATAATATTTTTATAAAATTAGTTGTTTGTATTTTCACAATTACAATATGAAATTATTTTAAATTAGTAAAAATGAATCATTTTAAATTATTAAAAATGAATAAATGCTTTATTTTTAGTTAGAATCATATAATTTTAACTATAATTTTTATTAAATGCTTATATATATATGTATATTTATTTATATTAATAATTCGATATAGGCTTCCAACCCACTTCTGCTTTCTAATTCTTTTTAAAAATCCGTTACTATGTTTCCATATGGTTTTCCACGTATCCGTTTCCGTTTCCATGTAACATAGGGTCTGACACAATTTTATTCACTATCTAAAACGTATGGTATCATGTTTTGTCGGCATTTGTAAATACAGCGCATTCCCATTAACTTTCGGACAGCGACAGACTATTCTATACAGAACCTCTTAAAACTTGTTATCCCCTTGTTCTGTTTCTGAACACACAAACACACACAAGGAAGAAGAAGATGGAAGCGAAATATGATCGTGCTAGTGAAGTAAAAGCATTCGACGAAATGAAACTCGGAGTAAAGGGTCTCCTCGACGCCGGAATCTCAACGATCCCTCGTATTTTCCACCACCCGCATCTCACTTCAACCGACCAAACTCCCACCTCAACGATGGAGATCCCAACAATCGATCTCGGAGGTGGCGTGTTCAAATCCACAGCCACGCGAGAGAGCGTCATCTCCAAGGTCAAAGAAGCAGTCGAGAGATATGGGTTCTTCCAGGGGGTAAACCATGGGATCCCGGTTGAAATTATGGAGAGGATGAAAGATGGGATTCGTGGGTTTCACGAGCAAGAACCAGAAGTGAGGAAGAAGTTCTATAGCCGAGACAATACCAATAAGGTTACTTATAGAAGCAACTTCGATCTCTATAGCTCTGCTTCTGCAAACTGGAGAGATACTTTAAGCTGTTTTATGTACCCTGATGGTCCCAAAACAGAGGACTTACCTGAGATTTGTGGGTAAGAGATCACTTTATTGTTTTTATATTATTTATAAGGTTTGAATGTTTTATATAATGTTATAGGGAAATCATGTTGGAGTATTCAAAGGGAGTGATGGAACTAGGGGAACTAATCTTTGAGCTTTTATCAGAAGCTTTGGGGTTGAATCCTAACCATTTGAAAGAAATGGATTGCACAAAGGGTTTGTTGATGCTCGCTCATTACTACCCGCCTTGTCCTGAGCCTGATCTAACGTACGGCACTAGTCCACATTCAGACAGATCTTTCCTCACTATTCTTCTCCAAGACCACATTGGTGGGCTTCAAGTACAAGAGAATGGTTATTGGGTGGACGTTCCTCCTGTTCCTGGAGCTCTTCTTGTCAACCTTGGAGATCTCTTACAGGTAATCATTTTAGTTTATTATGAATCAAATCATTAGTCCTTAGTTACCGTACTGATTTGTGTGAAACTCTTTGGGTTACAGCTTATAACTAATGACAAGTTTTTGAGTGTGGAGCATAGAGTTTTGGCTAACAGAGGTGAAGAGCCACGTATTTCAGTAGCGTCTTTCTTTGTGCATTCTTTACCGAGTTTGCGAGTATACGGACCGATCAAAGAGCTTTTGTCTGAACAAACTCCTCCCACGTACAGAGACACTACCGTCACTGAGTATTCGAAAAATTACATGGCGAGAGGACTTGACGGGAAGTCTGTGTTGCTTCAGTTCAAGATCTGATAAAAGCTGTTTTCTAAGCTTACTGCACAATTAAACAAATAAAGTTTATTGTAGTCTCAGGTTATTATGGAAATAATTGGATCCGGAAAATGTGGATCTTAACGTTGTTTTAATCGTTTCTTATTAAGCTGTTTTGGAATCTCACCCCAACATATCACATATCTTTTCATGGACTCCACACATATTCAAATATATAGACTCATTAGAGAACTTTTATCCCCACAAAATCATATACACAAGTACATTGAGCTAAACCTAGCTATTTTGCATTCCTCATCTTGTAGTGAGTACAAACTGATTCTAGATGCCAAGTTCTCTAAATTTCGTTTTGTCTCTAAAAAGATTTTAGTCAGCTACCGGCTTTGTGTACAGTTCCAAATTTCAAATGTCAATAAAATATATCTTATAACCACATCAATCAAGTTATACATAAATGTATTTTTTCAAATTTCAGAAACTGTAGAAAAGAACAAGAGACAATTCTTTTTCATTCAACATTCTGAATTTAGTTACATAAAACGAATATTCAGCTAACTGAAACAGATGACTAAATGTAGCATTACAAACTAATATCCAAACCAATATGTTGCCATCTGGACATTCAGATGATCAAAATTAGATTAATGAAAAGAGAACTCACCAAGGCCTTTAGGTGAAGATGGACATAATTAATTAAAATAAAATAAAACACAAGCTATATAATTATGAAGCAGAGTTTATGCATCAAACCATAACAGCTAGAAATTTCCTAATTACAAAATCTCCACTCAAAACATGATCACACCACTCAACTTTACCCCAAATCTCTCCTCCTTGACGTCTTTCCAACGAAATCTCCGCACACCAAATCTTACTTGTTCTACTGAAAAGCAAAGCTATATTCCCACCGTAACTCACAGTATATGACAACTTTGAACATAACGTCTTGGCCAGCAATTCTTCCACGCCTTCCACCACTCTCCAAGTCTTCTGATTTGGATCATAAGCTCTTAACCTGTTCACGTCTTGATCATGGTAGTACAATACATCATCAACCACACATGCATTCATCCAATCCAAAGGACTCAGCACATTGTCTTTTTCCCATTTACGTTCCTTTGGCTCGTACACAAAGCTTCCATAACAACCCCTTGTGTATATTTTATCAGCCATCACCGCACAAGCAACGCATATATGGAGAGTGTTATTCATCTCCGGCGTAATGATCATCCTCACATTCTCCCACATTTGTGTTTCTATATTGAACACCAGCATAGCCTTCTCTGGATAAAGAGAGCAATATCCAATTACATATATTTTCTTGTCGATGTTGCACGCTAATCTACTGTACATAGGGACAGGGATGCTTGGGAGGGGCTCCACCGTGTGGGATCTACAATCAATGCTTAACGCATTTGTTGTCTTATTTTTATGGTCCATCCCACCAAACACATATATTTTCGAACCTACTACTACAACAGATGTTGTATTGTCATCCAAAACGGGAAGCGTTGAGGGGATACGGGTCAAGCAGCGACTGCCGTTGGCTTTCTGGCGTAGGATATACCACTTGTCCACGTTGTTTGCATGGAGGAGGACATAGAGACAGTTCTCCTTGCAGGCCAACAAGGATCTTCTTGCGTGTAGATGAGGCGAAGTAACGAGTGATCGAAAGTGCTTGGAAACAAGGGAGAGCTTTGGATAGTCGAATCTGGATGAACGGGCTAAGATGTCAATGATGACATCTTCAGGGAGTGAGGGAAGAATCAGAGATGACTGTGGTTCTGAGGATTTCTCATCATCCTCTGCCTTCATTTTTGAAACCATGATAAGATCGACACAGAGAACTCAAACTAAAAGATGAAGCTCAAACCTACAATCACCGCCGGGCAAGAGAGAAAATCAATGCCTAGGGTTTGATGCGAAGCTTTCCAATAAGAAAACAACCTTATATAACCCTTTTCTTTTAATAATTAATTTTATTCACTAACATATTATATGACTACTTAACTTTTTAACTCAACACATACCCTCATTTTTTTAATAAAAACATATCTTTCTTATTAATATATATCTTTTAAATGTCATTTATTTCTGTTTATTTAATTTACTTTCATAAAATATATGTTGATTTATCATATAAAATTGGTTCTTTTATCAAAGTTAATAAATTAATATTAATAAAATAATTTCTAGAATATTATTTGAAAAATCATTTTCGGATAATGACAGAATTATTTCTAACAAACTAAAATATCATATCTGATTGCCATTTTATATATTTTAAAAAATAATTTCATTTTTCTTTGTATTCTTTCCAAATACATATGTATAAGAATAAAATATTAATGGAAACAATTATAAATTTTAAAACAAATATAGATATTATACATACTATGATATCATAAGAAAAGAATAATTCACAAAAAATAATTTATATAATAATATAATTTTACTTTTTAAACTAATATTAAATAAAATTATTCATGTTTAGAAAGTAATAACAATAATTTTTAAAACTATTTTCTCTGATATTAAAATAATTTAAAACATAAATCAGAATATCTTTATTGCACTAGCCACATATTATAATTAATATTATTTTTATAATAATGCTTTTGTTAAATTTTAAATTTTGGTATATACTTCTTTATATTTTTTTTATCAAACTACATAAATAAAAATAATATTTATAAATCTTAGTTGTTGTTTTTTTTTTGTGAAACTATAAATCTTAGAAGTTTTTGAGTATTTGTTGCAGGTCGCGCGGCACCTATACGAATAAGCTCGCTCAAGAAGAAGTCGGCCTAAAGCATATTCCTCAGGTTTGCAGCATCCAAACAGTAATTATTTTTGCTTTAATTTTAAGTTTTTAACTAACATTTCATGTAAATTAATTTGCGAACAAAGAAAGAAAAAAAAAAGAAGAGGAGGAGGCAGTTTATAAAAGCGAAAGCAAACTTTGGAAAGGCCAAAAAGCTGAAAACTCATCGAACAATTACAAGAACTCTCACATAGAAGCCGTACAGTTTCATCGCCCTCCAGTGCTTTTCTTCACGACAGAGAGACAGACCAAACCCTAATAAGCGATGGGGAACAAGAGGTTCAGGTCTGAAAATGCAGCTGGCAAGCCACCTTCCGTCGAAGCAACTAGGATTTGGGCTTCTAAGGTCATCGAAGACTTTCGAGCCTCCGGTAATGAAGGCAAGTCTTCTCTCTGATCCCAAAAGTCTATCCCTTTCCGACCAATTATTTGCTAATGTTTTTACTCTGTTCGATTAAAATGTGTTTGCTTTTTTTTTGTCTATTGCTAGTGTACACGTTTGATTACAATCTTTCAAACAGCGAACGTAAAGTCATTCATCAGATGTGTCAGAAAATGGGTATTCAATCCAAAAGCTCCGGGTGAGTTATATTATACTCTCTACAGTGTTTTGGGTTTTGATAAAGTTTTCATTTTTATTTTAAAATTGTGAGAGTCTTGTGGTTATGTATATGTTTTTGTAGGCGTGGGGATCAGAGGCGTCTTTCTATATACAAAGGGAAGCACAGAAATGGATGGAACAAAGAAGCTAAGGAGAGATCAAACAGAGAGAAGCTCAGATGTGTCTCGTTTCCTCCAGGGGCTGATGTTATTCTTCAGGATTTGTTTTCTCACTATCCACCTTGTGAAGGGGACACTGCTGCAACTTCGTTTAATAAGTATGTAGGTCGCTCTGGTAAACAAGGGCAATGGAGAGATGATTTTTTCCGGAAACCACAGATTAGTTGTGACGAGATTGTAGGAAAGGTGGCGTCTTTGAGTTCTAGGCTAAGGAATGATAGAGCTCTTCAGGAGGTTAGGAATATTCTTGAGATGTTAATGACCATGCCAAGTAGCAGCTTGTGAAATGAAATTTGTTATCATTGGTTTATGTTATAGATTTCTAAGCTGCGGTCAAAGCTTCCTATTACATCTTATAGAGATGCAATTACATCTGCTGTTGAATCCAATCAGGTTTCTGTGAACTTTTTTTGATATGTTATTTGTTCTTTCACTTCAGAATTTGAGATATGATTTGTATGAATATGCTTCCGGTGGTGATATTCTTATTATATATGTAGGTTATTCTCATTTCTGGTGAAACTGGTTGCGGAAAAACTACTCAGGTGATTGTTACTCTTTTTCTCTTGTAACTAAGTAGTAGAACCATCGCCTTAAATATTCTAGTTAATGACGACCCACTGGATTGAGGGTCAAGCTGTCAATTTTCTTGTCCAGGTATACATAAAAATGCAACTTTAAATTTTAGAAAAAGTATATTGTGTTATAAGGTTTTGCCCTGTGTTTTAAATGGCGCATGGCGCTTTAAGGCGAGGAGGTTAGAGCCATGCGCCTTGCGCCATGGCGCTCCAAGGTGCTCGCCTTATGGATAGGATGCATTTAAACGTGGGTTAGTTATATACAGCTATAGAGGAACTCAGATATGAATTAATAGATGTTCCTAGGTCAGAAGTGTGTGTATGTGTTAGCTACAGATGTGTTTGCCCAATGTGAGTCTGGGATGTGATATTAGCCAATAGCTGTAAAAAGTTTTCCTTTTGATTTGCCCTCAATCTTTCATTCTTGAGGTTCTCAAGTGCCTCTGTTGTTATTTGTTAATCTTTTTAGGTGCCTCAATATCTTTTAGACCATATGTGGTCAACCAAAAGAGAATCTTGTAAAATTGTTTGCACCCAACCTCGTCGTATCTCTGCCATGTCAGGTTGATATATTTCTCGTTGATCTTTTGAAATTGGTTTAAGCTACATCATGCTTTGTGCTGCTACCCGCTTGCTGTTCCGCTTGCCTAATGTTTTTCATTACTATCTTGAAGTTTCTGAAAGAATATCCTGCGAAAGAGGTGAAAGCATTGGAGACAACATTGGTTACAAGGTAAGTGATCTTTGTACGTTGACGTTTGCTTTTGTACATGAAAAGTAAGGGCATTTCAATATTGTAGAGAAGTACCGGCATTGACTTTGTATTGCAATTTTCAGGTTCGACTGCAGAGCAAAGGTGGAAGGCACTCATCAGTTGTTTTCTGCACCAATGGCATTCTCCTGAGGGTCCTTGTAGGCAAAGGCTCTGTTAACTATGTTTCCGACATAACTCACATCATTGTGGTACGTGAGAAATTACTTGAGGATATAAATAGAAATTGTGAACTGTCACTCTAGCATGCTTTCTTGTTATTATTT